TCTGCAGTGATATTCATTATTAATAATGGAAAGTAAAAAAAATATTTCCTGAGTGTTCAACAGCACATCTATCTATGAGGAAGCTTAAACTATTGATTAAAGATAAAAAAATCGTATCTATCAAGGTTTCTGTAAGTGTGGACACAGATTCATTAGTTGTGAGAAAATTTCTCAAGATTTTCGATGTCTTCATTTTAAAATTTGTAGCTGTGAGAATAGGTGAACAACTCATAAAAAGAGGTTATGATTAACTACCAAAAATGTAAGTACATTTCATTTATATTTTTTTGGTAAGATTAGATCACATTTTTCTATGGAAAATAGATTTTTCATGATTGTATAAAACTGAGATGTGAATTTTAATTTGCATATTAGTGAAATGTCATTTATAGAAAGCATTGCTCTTACATAATTTGTATTCATTAGTGTGATAATATTTATACAACAGTAAGCAAGAACCCATATAATGGGAGTATTTGAAAAACTTGAAGAAGCAATAACTACCACCTCCAACAAAAAGTATCAACTGAGGGCTGGGGATGCAGCACAGTGGTGAAGTCCTTGCCTTGCTTATGCAAGGCCCTATGTCTGATCTCAGCACTGTAAAAAAATAAGCAATTCACAATCCAGGTCACATATATCATCTCATTAAAAATCAAAATTTTAAGTACTGTCAATATTAAATTTACATATAATATTATTGCATTATAATATCTGAGTTATCATAGAAGTAAAGTTTCTATGAGTAGAAGAAAAAGTGACTTCATAACTGAAGACCACTCTGTCAGTAGGACTATAATAGTGGTCACAGAAAAGCAAAGGTCTCTATACATAAAGAAGAAGCTGTCAGGAAGAGAGGTAGGCTGCAGAGGTGATGTTTCACTGCAAGATCTGTTGTAAGAAGTCAGGCATGGACATACATCCCGCGGGAACATCCTACTTCTAAAGCAAGTGCATGAGCAAGTGCATGCCCATTCTCTATGATAAAGACTATAATTCCAGGGACTTAACTCTGGAACTTAGACACATGATCTGAGCTGGAACTCCCCTAACCTCAATAGGAAGGAAATATTTTAAAGCATGTATGTGCATGCAATGTATACTTTTCAATAAATAGATTGGATCCTCTAGGAAAAAAATAGTGGAAACACTGCTTCAAATTTGAAATTATTTGAGGACCCCTATATTTAGTTTGTGTTAGCTAAGAAAAAAATATAAAGATAGTTCTCTCATGAATTTAGAACTCCACTTTCCCTGGCTTCTGGTGTTAGTACTCTACCACAGATGCATCCGTGAAGCAAAAGCATTATCAATGGACAGATTACTATTCCTCTAGCATTTTGGCAAGGAGGAGAAGGCATTTATTATTTTTTTCAGGAGTGAAGGTATTGAATATAATAAGGTAATTTATCATGATAAGACTTACTTCACTAACTAAAACAGACTTCAAATATATAGTCAAAGTATAGAATATATCAAATTAAATAAGTAAACTTAAAATACCAGCAACTTTTAGAACCATTCCAAGTAAAAAATTGCTTAGGTTCATGTGGAAAATTTAACTTAAATTTTACCAGATAAATTTTAGACATTGAACACATATGTGGGACTATTTTAGGTGCCCGTCTCATTAAACAGCTTTACTTTGAAACACAAACAATATATACATTATCGTGATAGCAGATAGGAGGAAGAATTGGTTGCTCAGAATGTCACTTTACTCTCTAGTTCTAAAGTTTCATTAGGTTTCCAGAAGACTTAATGCATGCACTGAAAATCTAATCATAAGTACATGCCAGATGGAACTGGGGCAAAAGAACAGATATAAGAGAGGAAAGATTATCAGAGGAAAAATTTACTCTATGTAGATAATCCAAGTAAAGTGACCTGATCACACATATTTGATAAACTCAGAGAAGCTAGTAGGAATTAAATGTGGACAATTTTATGTTTGAAGTGTACTTGGCTACATTCTTGACATTCAAAAGAATATCATTTTTGAATATTAATTAGGGATTTGAGAAAATGCTTCCCAAGAGTTGTTATTGCTAAATTGAAAGGAATTAAGAGGACAGATTGAGACATATAAACATAACAGAGAACATAGTGAAAAAAGTAACACCAGAAATTAGAAATAAAAAGGCGAGGGGAAAATATGTATGTAGTGTTAAGATAAGTTATGAGAAAGTGCTATACAAAAGTCCACATTCTGCACAGAAGTTGTTTACTATCTTATACCAAAACAGAGGGTTTTAATATATTTTGGGCAAAAAATATTTCAACAGAATGGTTGGAGCAGAAGTGTGATTACAAAATGGTAAAGAATGAATGGATGGTGACTATCAAAAAGGAAATGATGAGGACTAGCACATACAAAATTAAATGTATTCGTTATCATGGGCTACATGTTACTAAAGGAGATAGAGATATGTAAATATTTATATACAGACTAGGTTACTTTTATGAACTAGAATATGAAGGGTACATTTCATTTTTCCATGTTAACTGACAAAACAGAATTCCAGCAAAGCAAACAGTGCCAGGCGCTGGTGGTACATGTCTGTAATCCTAACTACTTAGGAATCTGGGATCAGAATTGTGGTTTGAGGCCAGCCAGGCAAATACTTTGCAAGACCCCATCTCTAAGATAACCAGAGCAAAATGGATGCAAGGTGTGACTCAAGTGCCTGCTTTGCAAGTGCAAAGCCCTGAATTCAAATCCCAGTCGATACCCTCCTCAAAAAAGCAAGCAGAGCTTGGCAATGTGAGGGCAATGTGGTTTATGACATTGGTATCAGCATGTTAGATTTTGTTTCAACCTCAGCTAAACAAGCTGAAATATCAAAAAATTTAATGATTTTAAATTGTCACACAACCCTGTATATGCCACATGCAACATTATCTTAACATTCTGAACAAAAATAATTCTCATTGAAGCAGTATATGCTGCATAACACTAGGCAATGATGATAAATTTGGGCTAAGAGTATTCATGAGGAAGAAAGAGGTAAAAAGAAAATGAGGAGAAAGTTTTCAACGATGAACACGTAAACTTTCTACATAGTGTAGTGCTAGAACCAATGATCTTTTTGTAATATTTGTATCATTTTACAGTTACATGTATTCATTATAGATATTAATGAGTTAAGCGTGACATGTCCACTCATAGACACCATGTGCACTGGTCAAATTCAACTGCACTTTATTCATTCTCCTCATCCAAAAACCTTTCCCAACTTCTAGTCACTATTCTATATTCAGATCAACATTTTGGCTGCATATGAGAACATACAGTACGTGTCTTTATGTATCTGGTTTACTTCACTTAACATAATGCCTTCCATTTCCATCATTTTTCTGCAAATAATTCTTCTTTATGGCAAAATTATATATTATATTACATATAATTATATTATTATAAAATTATATACTTATACCACAATTTCTTTATCCTCATCTGTTGATATGCACCTGGGCTGAATCCATATCTTAACTGTTTTAAACAGTGCCATGATAAACATGTGCACACAGGTATCTCTTTAATATAACAACCTCTCTTTGGATATATACACAAGAAATTACATAGCTGGATCATATGATGGTCCTATTTTCAGTTTTTTGAGGAGCCTTCCATACTGGCTGGACTAATTCAATTCCCACCAACAGTATAAAATGTTCCTTTTTCTCAACATCCTCTCTAACTTTTTTTTATCATAGCCATTCTCATTGGGGTGAGATGCTATCTCATTAGAGTTTTGATTTGTAATTAATGACATTTAGTATCTGTTCATATATTTGTTGGCAATCAATTTTTCCTGTTTTGAAAATTGTCTATTCAGCTTATTATTCTCAAGTAAATGGATGGAACTGGAGAACATCATTCTGAGTGAGGATAGCCAGGCTCAGAAGACCAAAAATGGTATGTTCTCCATCATATGCAGACTTTAGATCTAGGGCAAACACAGCAATGTTATTGGACTTAGGTCACATGACAAGGGGAGAGCACATACGTGAGGTATGGGGATAGGGAGGAAACTCAAAACATGAAAGTATTTGATGTCCCCACTGCAGAGGAACTAATGCAGAAACTTTAAAGTGACAGAGGTCAATATGGGAAGGGGATCAGGAACTAGTGAAAAGGTCAGGTAGAGATGAATCAACTTGGGTTGTAATACATTTGTACATGGAAGCAATGCTAGGAATCTGTCTGTATAGCTATCCTTATCTCAACTAGCAAAAATGCTTTGTCTCTCTTACTGCTCACGTCTTCTCTTCAACAAAATCAGAGATAAGGGCAGAGCAGGTTCTGCCTGGAAGTGAGGGAGAGGTGGAGGGAAGAGGGAGGAGGCAGGAGTGAAGGGGAGAGAAATGGCCCAAACAATGTATGCACATGTGAATAAATGAATAAAAACTTTTTAAAAAGCACTACAACTAAATATAAGCATTAAAAAAAGACAAGTGTCTATTCAGATCATTTGTCCATTGTTAATTGGATTACTTGTTTTTGTCACTCAGTTTTTCGAGTTCATTCTATACTCCAGATATTAACACTGCATTTGATGTAGAAAACCTGTTGTATTATGTCCATAATATTTTTACTATTTTTGAGCTTAATCAATAACCAACCTGCAAAGTTAGACATTAAAGTGTTCAAAAGTAAAAGGTGCGGCACTAGGATTCCTCTTTAGTTAGTAGAAAAAATATAACTAATGGACAGTTCCCATCCTGCATACAGGTAAAATATAAATTAGAATAAAGAGTGATGAAAATCACTCATGTTGGAGGATAGTAGGATAGTAGGGACAAGTATTCTGCTCTTTTAAATATCTTTTAAAATTGCAAAAAATGCCACTGAGAGCCTAGGTTACATGAAATGATATCGTTTACAAGAAAATTTTGTGTGTCATATGCATTTGCATAGTTTGTTCTTAACACTACTCTCTTCCAATCAAATACTTGTGAATTATAGATGTAGACTGAATAGATGTCAGGATTCAATTATGAGAAACCACACTATAACAACATTTATCCTACTGGGGCTGACCAATGACCCACACCTGCAGATTGTCATTTTCATCTTCCTGTTCGTGACCTACATGTTGAGTGTAACTGGGAACTTCACGATCATTTCTCTCACCATCATGGATTCACACCTTAAAACTGCCATGTACTTTTTCCTACAAAATTTCTCCTGCTTAGAAATCGCATTTACAACTGCTTGTATTCCCAGATACTTGTACAACATATCAGCAGGTGATAAGACAATCACATATGACAGTTGTTTCACTCAAATTTTTTTTACAGATCTTTTTGCTATAACAGAATTTTTTCTCCTTGCCACCATGTCCTATGACCGATATGTTGCCATCTGCAAACCCCTGCATTATGTGACCATCATGAACACCAGGGTCTGTAGAAGACTCATCCTTTCTTGTTGGACAGCTGGTTTGTTGGTCATACTGCCACCATTTAGCCTGGGACTAAATATGGAATTCTGTGACTCTGATGTTATTGAGCATTACATCTGTGATGCATACCCCCTCTTCAAGATCTCATGCACAGAAACATGGCTCTTAGAACAAATGGTCCTAGTTTGTGCTGGGTTATCCTTTATCATAACCCTAGTATGTGTAGTAATATCCTACATATACATCATTAAGACAATTCTACAATTCCCTTCTGCCAAGCAAAAGAAAAAGGCCTTCTCCACCTGCTCTTCCCACATGATTGTGATTTCCATCACCTATGGAAGCTGCATCTTCATCTACGTGAAGCCTTCAGCAAAGGACTCAGTGGCTATCAACAAGGGTGTGTCAGTCCTCACCACTTCCATCGCTCCTATGCTGAACCCCTTCATCTACACCTTGAGAAACAAGCAAGTCAAACAGGCCTTCAGTGACTCAGTCAAAAGAATTGTGTTAGGATTAAAGAAGCAAGGAATGTTAGTAATGTAGGATGATCAAGTTTTCCTTAAATACATAAGCCACTTATAAGTTGTATCTTCAGATTTTTAATCCTTTATATTTATCAATGATTAACTATTATAAACTTCCATGAAACAAAGGATGACTACACGCCAAACCAAGCATTAGTAAACATTTTTATAAAAAGCCATGGACACCATCATAAAATTTGAGAATGAGAACTTGTACATATTGTCTATTCTAGCTCTAGCTTTTGAGTGTATTTTTTATTCCAAGCACCATTTTAGGATACAGTTACCCCTTAGTATGTTTGAGGAATTTGTTCCAGGAACTCTCATGAGGAGGCACTAAGGCCTGAGTGCTCATGGCCATTACATTGAAAGGTGTGGTATTTATACACAACCTACACGCCTCCTTCCACATAATTTAAATCATCTCCAGATTACTTACAATACCTAACACAGCATAACTTCTATGCCAATGGTTTTGTTTTATTTTATCATTTTTACATTACTTATATGTGTACACATCATTTGGGCTACTTCCCTCCCCCCACCAACGCTTCTGTTCCACCTTCTTGTTCTCCAATTTTGTTGAAAAGAAACATAAGAGATAATAAAAAAGAAGACATTTTTGCTAGTTTGAGATAAACATAGCTATACAAAGAGATGCCTATCATTTCCATGCACATGTGTATTATAACCCTCATTACTTCATCTCTACCAGACCTCTTCAGTACTTCCTGGTCCACTTTCCATAATGGCCTCTGCCAGTTTAACATTACTAATCAACCACACTAAAGTATTTAGTTTTCCTTCCCTTTCCATGTTCCTCCTGTGAGTGTCCTCCCCTTAGTGTAGAACCCATGTCCAATAATATACTACATTTCTTTAGGTTTACAATCCGCATATCATGAAGAACATGTGATCTTTGGCCTTCTGAGTCTGACTAACTTCACTTAAGATGATGTTCTCCAATTCCATCCATTTACTTGCAAAATTTCATTCTTCTTTGTGGCTGAATAAATTCCATTATGTATAAATACCACATTTTCTTAATTCTTTCATCAGTAGTGGGGCAACATGGCTATTTCCAAAGCTTGGCTATTATGAATAGTGCTGAAATAAACATAGGTGTGCAGGTGACTTTGTAATAACATGAGCCGCATTCCTTTGGGTACATCCCTAGGAGTGGTATCGCTGGATCATATGGCAGATTACTTTTTTAAGACTCCATATTGTTTTCCAAAGTGGTTGTATAAGCTTGCATTGCCACTAGCAGTGTATGAGGATTCCTTTTTTCCCCACATCCTTGCCAAAATTTGTTGCTGTTGATGTTCCTGATGGTAGTAATTCTAACAAGTGTGAGGCAGAATCTTAGGGTGGTTTTGATTTGAGGTTCCTTATAGCCAGGGATGGCAAGCATTTTTTCATGTCATTTAGACTTCTTCCTTTGAAAAGTTCTGTTTAGTTCAGTTGCCCACCTCTTTATTGGTTCATTGATTTGGGAAGAATTTAGTTTTGAGCTCCCTGTATACTGTGCTTATCAGTCCTTTGTCTAATGTAGCTAGCAAAGATTTTCTGCCATTCTGTGAGTGGTCTCTTCAATTTAGAGACCATTTCTTTTGTTGTGTAGAATCTTTTAAATTTCATATAGTCCCATTTGTCCATCCATTCTCTTAGTTGCTGAGCTGCTTGAGTTCTTCTGAGGAAATCTTTGCCTATACCTATTGCTTCCACAGTATTCTCAGCTCTTTCCTGCACTAACTGCAAGGATTTGCATCTGATATTAAAGTCTTTAATCCACTTTGAGTTGATACTAGTACATGGTGACAAGCATGGATCTAGTTTCAGTTTTCTCCAGTCAGATAACCATTTTTCCCAGCAACATTTATTGAAGAGGCTGTCTTTTCTCCATCATATGTTTTTGGCACCTTTGTCAAATTAAGGAGGGCATAGTTGTGTGGCTTCATATCTGTGTCCTCTATTCTGTTCCAGTGGTCTTCATGTCTGTTTTTGTGCCAGTACCATTCTGTTTTTATTGCTATTGCTCTGTAGTACAGATTGAAGTGGGGTGTTGTAAGACCTCCAGCATTGCTTTTTTTGCTCAGTATTACCTTGGCTATTAGTGACTTTTTTTTCCAAATGAAATTTAGGATAGATTTTTCAATCTCTGCAATGAATGTCATTGGGATATTGATGGGAATTGCATTGAACATATAGATTGCTTTTGGTATTATAGCCATTTTTACTAAGTTGATTCTGCCAATCCATTAGCATGGGAGATCTTTCCACCTTCTGCAGTCTTCTTCAGTCTTTCTTCAGTGGTTGTAGTTCCTTATACAGGTCATTCACACCCTTGAGTTAAGTTTATTCCTAGGTATTTGATTTTTTTTTAGCTTATTGCAAGTGGAATTGTTTTCCTATATTCTCTCTCAGTTTGTTCACTGTTGGTGTATAGAAAGGTTATGATTTTTGTAAGTTGATTTTGTATCCTGCTACATTGCTGAAGATGTTTATGGTGTCTCAGAGTTATTGGGTGGAATTTTTAGGGTCCTTGAGGTATAGGATTGTGTTGTTTACAAAGAGGGATAGTTTGACTATTTTTTTTCATATTTTTATTCCTTTTATTTCTTCTTCTACTTCTTGCCTTAGTGCTCTGGCTAGGAATTCCAGGACTATGTTGAGTAGGAGTGGAGATAGTGGGCATCCTTGTCTAGTTCCTGATTTTAGAAGGAATGATTTCCCTCTAAAGTTCTATGTGAACTTTCAGTAAACAGAGACTCCAAAAGTAGCCAGCTGGAAAGCCTCTCCAAAAGAGAAAGAGGAAGAGGCAGCTATCAGCGTGAACTTTCAGTAAACAAAGCCTGCAAAAGTAGCCAGCAGACAGTAGGCAGCAGATGAGGCACAGCCTGAAATAGGGGAGATAATGGTTAACAAAGCTGTCTCCTGACCCAACCACCTGGCGAGACTATGACAGAGCTACTGCTTAAATACCAAAACAGGATTGGATGCCTAAGAGGAAACACCAGAACAACTGAACTTGATTTTTTTTCTTTTTTCTATTTTTTTGTTTTTCTTTTTTCTCTTTGTCTCTAAGTGATTCTCTTGTTCACTGTTGGTTAATACACATTCTCACCCTGTTGATTTCTTTGGTTCTCTTTTTTTTTCTTTTCTTTATTTTTCTTCTTTCTCTTTCTTGGTTTCATTATTTTTACTATTGTAAGTTAGCTAATACTAAATTACACACAGAACAGGAACAGAAACAACACTAACTGGAATGCTGGAAAGATGAAAAAAGGATGGAAACCATTCTCCCCCCAACAATAAATTAGTACAGGATTCACAGGGAAATGAAGAAAATGGATACCCAGTTCCAGACCTAAACAAAACAAAGATAGACTATACCAAGGAACCCAACAAAGAACACCCTGAAAAAAGAAATCACTGAGGATTTCATGGAGATGTTACTAGATAGGGTCAACCAAAATGTACAGGAGGCAATCAAAAATTCCAAGACAAAAAAATAAAGAATATGAGAACACACTAAAATAAATAGTGAACTCATAAGAGCCCTAAAGAAACACCAAAGTGAAACAGAGAACACCATAAATAGAGAGATAAATAAATTAAGGCCAAAAATTGAAATATTAAAGAGGAAGTAAGAGATGATATGGAAAAACCTCATGAGAAAATGAAACAGAAATACAAAATACAATGGAAGGCCACTCAAGCAGACTAAAACAAGCAGAAGAATCTCAGAAGTTCAAGATGAAGTGAAAATTAAAGGAAAACCTGATGAACTATTAAACAAACAACTAAAAACATGTGAAAGGAATATGCAAGAACTCACCAATCCCATCAAAAGACCAAACCTGAGAATCATGGGTATTGAAGAAGAAGAGCTGCAAGCAAAAGGAATGCAAAATAATAACAGAAATTTTCCCAAATCTAAAGAAAACTATGCCCATTCAGGCACAGGAGGCCTCCAGAACACCAAACAGACTTGACCAAAATAGAACTGCCCCATGACATATTATCATTAAAACAACAAGCACAGAGAACAGAGAAAGAATATTGAAGGCTGTAAGAAAGAAAAAACAAATAACATACAAAGGTAAACCCATCAAAATCACAGCAGATTTCTCAACAGAAACATCAAAAGCAAGAAGAACATGGGGTGAGGTCTTCCAGGCACTAAATGAAAATAACTTCAATCCTAGGATACTCTACCCAGCAAAACTATCATTCAAAATAGATGGAGCAATAAAAGTCTTCCATGATAAGCAGAAACTAAAACAATATATGACCACCAAGCCACCACTACAAAAGACTCTTTAAGGAATTCTGCACACAGAAAATGAAACCAAACAAAACCATGAAAGGATAGGCAGTACCAAACCACAGGAGAAGAAAAGGCAAGAAAGTACAGAGTAACGTAGAATCAGCTGCACACAATCAAACCCTTAAACAACAAAGACAACTAAACGACAGGAATCATCACATACCTATCAATACTGCAACAGAATGTTAATGGACTTAATTCCCCCATCAAAAGACAATGTTTGCAAACTGAATTAAACAGGAAGATCCAAAATCTGTTGCTTACAGGAGACACAGCTCATCCACAGAAATAAGTACTAGCTTAGGGTGAAAGGCTGGAAGGTTTACCAAGCCAATAGCTCCCAAAAACAGGCAGGAGTACCAATACTTGTCTTGGACAAAGGAGACTTCAAACCTACATGAATCAAATGAGATAAAGATGGAAACTCCATAGTAACAAAGGGGAAATACACCAAAAGGAAATAACAATTATCAACCTGTATGCACCCAATGTCAATGCACTCAATTTCATCAAAAAAATTCTGAAGGACCTAAAAGCATATATCAACACCAACACAGTGGTTTGGAGATTTTAATACCACTCTCTCTCCAATAGATAGGTCATCCAAACAAAAAATAATTTAAGATATAAATCACATCATAGATCAAATGGACCTAGCTGATGTCTATAGAATATTTCATCTAACT